GCTGGGGGGAGGTGTCCCTGCCCAGGGCAGGGGGTGGCACTGGATGGCCTGTAAATATCCCTTCCCACTGAGACTATTCTACGATTCTGTCACCTCTGGGCTGAGTCAGGCAGGGGACAATCCATATTGAGAAGAGAGGGTGATGCTGCAGAGAGGCCAGGACACTGGGACATTGACAGGGGTCTCTTTGTCCATCCTTTTCCCTAAAGAGGGCACTGGCTGTCCTTCCAGTGGGCAAGCACCTCCCTAGCCCCAAACCTGAGTCAGAAGTGAAATCAAGAAGAGGAGAAGCGTTTTCACCCTCCTCTCCCCTGCCACGGTTCCACCAGTGGCACACAGCTCCCACCGGCCAACTCGAGCCCAGCCAGGAGGTCACTCCTGAGCAGGAGCCCTCTGCTCCCCTGGATCTCAGGTTTGCGACATAGCCCATGCCAACGCACCCTCTCCGAGGTGGGGACATGCCCGCCGGGCAAGTCAGCCCTCCCACCTCAATGTCCTGCAACAAGGTGGTCCCATTTTCCCTGCCAGGACCCAGAGGATGTCTCTGAAGGACACAGCTCAGGGTCATTCCCTGGAGCCCAAGGTGAGCACAAGAAAGGCCGTGGCGGGTTCCTGAGGACACTGGAAGCCACCAGTTGGGATTCCCCTGTGGCCATGAGGTGCCCTGGGGCTGCACAGAGGTTGACCCCATCAGCTATTTGAATTTGGGGCTGGATAAATGCAAAAAAAAAGCCTGTATCAACCTGGACCAGTTTGAAAACAGGAGCATGAGAACAGCTCAGGGGTGAGCACAGCAGTGATGACAGAGGTGAGGTTTGACATCACCTTTCACACCCCTGAGCTGTCCTGGCCCAGATGTGGAGCAGAAAGCTGCTGGGAAGGGGCACAACTTCTCCCAGAGTCGGCGCCTTGCGGTTCTCAAAATCCACCAGGAATCATAAATACAAGAAATTACTTTCATCGCTGCGTCTTTCCCCACAGCTCTCCCTCTCTGCCCCGCTCCCCCGGGCTGGACGCAGAGGGGTGGCTGCAGAGGGTCCCGGTGCGAGGTGCAGAGGTCCCCAGATTTTGGGGCCAGCCAAGCTGCCAGAGCACGCTCAGCCCTCGCCTCTGCTCTGCGCGGCGCCCCTGGGAACGAAGCCAACGTCTCCCCACAGCACAAGGGGACTCAACACCCCCCCTTTCCCACCACCCCGCTGGCTCAGCTCGCGACCACGCGAGGGGCTACACCCCAAAACTTTTGCTTCGCTCCTGAACGTCAGCTGCACCGTGTGATGCGCATCTTGCTGCAGGTCCCGACCACCCACCCGCCCTATGTGGCATGGTGGTGGCACTCATGTGTACCTCCCCACCCCACTACCTGCACCTCTCTGGTCCCAGAAGATGCTGTTCCCACCCATGGGAGGTTAAAATGGTATTCGCTAAGAAACATGGTTTTTCCTTCCTCTGCTTTGTCACCCTGGAGAAGTTTCCAGCTTAGAGGACACCACAAAGCGCACCATGAAGATGCACAAGGAGTGCAACCTACACACACCCGTGGGATTTTCTACCGGAGCCTATCCACTTCCCAGTCTCCCTCCAACCATGTCACTTCGCCAAGAACTTTCTTTGCCCCCAAGGAGGCTTTGAAAGCATTGCCTGCATCCTACCTCTGTGAGGGTGGAGGGGAAGGCCACCTCGTGCAGGTGGAACTGCGGCACGCACTGGAAGGTGACCGTGAGCACGACACCCAGGCAGCCAAGGTGCAGGCGGGCCGCCTGGAAGATGTCCGCGTTGATGGACTCAGAGCACTCCAGGATCTCCCCCGAGGCTGTCAACAGTGTGAGTGCCACCACCTGCCAAGAGGAGAGCAGAGCTTCAGCAAGCGTTCAATGTGTCCCATCTCCATGTCAAGACCCTGCATCCACCCCAAACCTTAGAGCTGGGAAGTAAGCAGGGAGACCCGCGTACTACCACCAGCATCACAAGGTGCTTTCTGCTGAGCTTGGCCCCACCAGCCCCTCTCCTGCCACCTCTGATGTAGTGACATAAAACGATCCTTCTCTCTCTGAGGGGTGCTGGGAAAAGCTATCAAATAAAGAAGTAAAACTCCCCCAAATTCACTTCTCCATCACCATGGGTGGAATCACTGTGCAGGGTTTGAGCTAAGAGTGGAGGATTTTCATACCTGTCTAGTTAAAAATAGACCCGGACCCTGCCGAAATTCAGGTTTGGGGGGCTCTGATACAAGAAGAACGGCTTTCCCTTTGGTGTAGGGCTTATTCATCGATTATGAGTCCATAAAGCACGAGGACAGAGGAATTTGGGGCTGGATCATGTCTTGGCTGGCAGATGAGGACTTCCCACTGTGCACGGGGGGACTTGGGGGTCCCCCATAGCAGCCCCATTCCGGGGGACAGGACCCATCCTGCTTGCTGAGTACAGCGTGCTCCTTCCTTACCCCAGGGCTGGGCACACCAGACCCAGAGCAGGTGATGGGACATCTCCCCTGAAGCCCTTTAAGATGCTGATGTCCATTCACCGACATGCTCCCGACTCGTGTCTCACCTGGGTGGGGAGGATGCCGTGACTGATCCCGGTGTTGTGCGTCCCCGTCCCAATCACACCGGCCGCTGCCACCTCAGAAACGGCTCCTAAGCTGGGGGCAGATGAAGGGGCTGGTGAGGACCTGAGCATGTGGGACACGGTGTGGGGCGCAGCCCACCGCACCAGGCATAACACAGACCCCATGTGCAGGTCCAGAGTCCCCCAGGACATGTCCCCTGTCCCAACGAGCAGGGTTTTCCACCCTTCAGGGTACTTTGAAGCAAGTGGTGGGTTTGTTGGCCACATGTGCACGTCTCCATGGGACGTATCTATCAGGATGCTACCATAGTCCATGGGGAGGAAGAGGTGGCTGGTAAGCACAGGTCACCATGGTCAACTCAGCTGTGTCCCATCTCACAAGTCCCTGTCTCTTCCCATCAGGCTGGAGTGACTCACTGGGATGGAGACATCCCTCCCATAAGCATTCAGAGCGAGGGGTGAGGAACCCGTCTTTACCCCAGAAACATCACTGTAGAGCAGGGCTGGAAGCATCATCCACAAGCATAAAGACAGCAGGCCAAGGACCATCCCTCCGACCATGGCCAAGGCAGGCACGTGGGGATGGTAGAAGGTTACAGCAAATGGTGTGGTGGTCCTGCCATTTCCCCCAAATGCTCCTCCAGCTTCCATCAGCTGGGGAGCAGAGACCTCCTGAACCAGATGTGGTTTCTATGACCATGGCAACCCTTGGTGGATTCCTCCTCCAAGAAGGAGTCCTGCTCACCCCATGCACACCTTTGGCCACTGGTCAGGTGGGGCTTATTTCTCTGAACCTTCACCCCAGCCCTGGTCAGTGCTCTGACAAACCGATCTCTTGTATTGACTGAGGAACGCGGGTATTGAGCTAGGCTGTAACTCAAGAGCAATTTCTTCCCAGAGGTCATAAAAAAAAAAAAGAGATTGGGTGTGAGAAATGCTCTCCTCACCCATTTCCTATCTGAACGAGGGTCCCTCCAAGCCCTTGGCAAGACACCCGCTGCGAGGGAGAACCACACGTGTTGGAGGCAGAAGGATCAGCTGTGATCATCTCTTGGTATCCCATCCTCTGCCCCCGGATTGCCCTGGACCCCCAGTCCATCACTTCCACCTCCTCTTCTGGGCACAGCAGACATCCCAAAGCAATGCAGAGCAAAGTTTGGAACTTGATGATCTTTAAGGTCCTTTCCAACCTAAACCATTCTATGATTCTATGATTGTCCCATGCCTCAAAGGGCTAATTGCCCTTTGCCATCAGAAACTCATTTCCAGCCTAATTTTGTCTACCATCAGCCTCCTTAGCCCGGAGCTCCCTGCTGTCGGCCTCTGCCCCACACAAGGTGTCCCTAGGAGGGGTGCTCTCATCTTTTTAGGGCCAGGGAGAGCAGAGTTTTCCTTCGTGACATGGAAAGGATCAACCTGGTGGGAGCCGTGAGAATATAGGGTTGGTGTGGGGATAAAGGTTCCCCTTGTCCAGCCTCCTGCTCCAAGGCAGGACCAGTTACTCCATCGTGGGGGGTTTGACCTGTGGTCTGCAGAGCCCCAGTAGAAGACCAGAGCCTGAAGTAAACATTCCTATTCTGCAGTAAAAGCTCTTCAGATATCCCTGTTTTGCCATGTCCCAGCACTTGACCTGGGTTTAGGATGGACACATGGGAGGACACACAGGGACGTGTCCCACTAGGCTGTGATGGACACATGGGAGGACACGCAGGGACGTGTCCCACTCACTTGGCCAGGGCCAGCCCATGCTTGCTCAGCTCGACATTCAGATCCGAGAGGAAAATCCCACCTTCCACCGTCACTTGCTGCTTCTCCTTGTCCACCTGCGAAGGATGGGATGGGATTAGAGAGGGGAAGGTCACAGAGCTCAGAGGAGAAACACTGCTTGGGGAACACCTCTGCTCAATGCAGTTGATAATGTCTATGCAGGAGAGCTGCGTACCATGAGGGACTTGCTCCATCCTGAGCTACCACCTCTCTCAGACCTTCACCCAACCCAAACCTCCTCCAACCCAACGGTGCCACCGGTTCTTGCCCTTGTTCCAGACCCCGCTCCCCTCTGCTCTCCCCGGTCTCAGGGGTTTGTAACCTCTCCCAGAAGTTCTCCCAGGTGTTGGTCAATGCAGGGGAGAAGACATAGAGGAGAAGACACCCCGCAGCAAAGCTCTACCTTCAGCAAACATCTCTGCTCTACCCTCCCACCTTGCTCAGGCAGCTTCAGCCAGCTCCTGGTGGAAGGACAGCTTATTACCATTAGGAGCTATTCATCCCGCTTCTGAGAGACAGAGCTGTCAGGGAGGGAGCCGTTCCTTAATTAATTATTGCTGTTAATTACGAGTAATGATCCAGCTCTCAGAATATGCTGATACAATCAGTATTTTTTATCCTCAGCTGCACATGTACACACGTGCTCACATACAGAAAGACACGGTAATGGCTTCAGACTGGAAGAGGGGAGATTTGGATGAGATATGAGGAAGAAATTCTCTCCTGTGAGGGTGGTGATCCCCTGGGGCAGGTTGCCCCGAGAAGCTGTGGCTGCCCCATCCCTGGAGGTGTTCAAGGCCAGGTTGGACGGGGCTTGGAGCAACCTGGGCTGGGGGGAGGTGGCCCTGCCCAGGGCATGGGATTGGACTAGATGGTCTTTAAGGTCCCTTCCCACCCAACCCATACTGTGATTTTATGATTATATATGTATATATATGCGCAAATGCATGCATGGACACACAACAGGCACGTACACACACATACATGTGTGTGCACACACAACACACGCTCATGCACGTGTGCACAGAGGTGGTTCTCTCATCACAGCCCCAGTAAAAGCCCAGTATCTCTCTACACGCTGGAGGTCTGGATGCAAAGCAGAGGGCAGGAAAACCTCTCCCTCTCAGCAGTTCTCATTTTCCCACAGTCGTTCAGGACATGATCCACAGGACCAGGAAGAGCTGGTTCCTTCCCAGTGTCGTCAAAGAGGGCAATCTCCCATGGGGACATTGCCCACCCTGGTTATGGCAGCGTTGGTCTCCCTGCCCCTGGTGGCCACACAAACATGGGTGCCACCACGTTTTGCGGCCACCATACCACCTTCCAGAAGCAGGTCTCACCTTGAGGACCCTGTTCATCTTCCCCATCTGGATCATGAAGTCATCAGTGCAAGCGATGTCCGAAGGAGAGTGGCCGCCCCCCACCACCTTCACCCTCTTGTCCCGCTGCCTGGCCATATCCAGGATCTGCAGAGGCAACAAGCAGCCCTGAGCATCCAACACCTTTCCTCAAAGCCATGTGCTAAGGGAGGTGCCAGAGGCACTGTGAGACATCCCAAGCTAAAATCCCAGCCATCGTTGACACCACCTTCACCTGGACAACTCACCATCCAGGGTTAAAACCACCCCAGGAGCCCAGACACCTCCTAAGACAGCCCTCAGGATCATCCTTGGGGGTTGGACTCGATGACCTTTAAAGGTTCCTTCCAACCCAAAGCATTCTGTGATTTTATGATCCCAGAAGAGGCGATGCCCAGCTGAGACACCCTAGGGTGACAGAGTCATCTCTGGGGTGACAAAAGTGACACAGGACTCCCACCTCTCAGCATGGCAGCTGGGGAAGGCAGAGGACTCCAGAAGGATGCCAGATGCTGATGCCCAAGGAACAGAGTCCAACTGGGGCCAGCCATGGAGGTTTTCTGCATCTTTTAGGTGTTTGAGGCATCTGCTGGAGCACATCTGCAGTTCAGTAGGATGAGCTGAAGGAAGGACTCATGCTGTCACCATCTGTGACCTCTCTGACTCAACATGATGGAGCACCACAGCCCTTCCTGGCCTTTCCTCCTCTTCATTTCTAACACCTTGTCTCCTGGAAGCATCCCTCTTACCTCCCGGATCTCCTCCACCGAGGTAGGCTGGAAGTACAGCTCCGGAGAGGAGCCATAGGTCTTGGCCCAGTTCTGGAACTTGACTCCTCCTTGGCCGTGAACCTGGATCAAAACCAAGAGCTAAAGCAGAAGTGCCTCCCCTGCTTTTCCGTGTAGCCCGTCCTTCGTCCGCCAAGGCCACTGCACCAGAGCCAGGTTTCCAAAAGGATTAATTATTTATGGACACAGAGGTTCAACTCAACCCCTTGAGTTCCTAGACTGGAGATGTCTCCACGTGAGCCAGTCAGCCCAGGCTCCTTTTGCAGTTAGTGGGGAGAGGTGTGAGGATGCCCTGGTGTGTTTGAGACATCCCCCTTGAGTGCAGCCCATCCCTTCCTCCTACAGCATGATGTGTGCTGGGGTCCTCTTGGTTTGCATGGCCTCTTCTGCTCTGGTCTCCTCTACTACCTGGTCTCATCACCCGTACCTACCTCGTGGCCTCATGTCCCAGCATCCCCAGATGGCTTCATCATGAAGGACTGACCGGGACCAGGTTGGGACCTCCCTCCAACCTCAGTCACCCACCCTGAGACACTGTCCCCAGGTCTGGCATGAAGTGGTGCTGCCAAAAGACCCAGAACCATCCCATCTCTAGGCAGGACATCCCCAGGGCGGTTTGGATGGGTCTTGGCTGGGTGGGAGACACTTTCTCCCTGGCTGTGACCAGCCCAGCTGGGGCATGGGCAAGGAAGGACATGGTTTGGGGGTTGGGCACCAAGCCCCAGAGAAGGTGATGAATCCCTCTGCCCCAGGCAGGACCGGATCCAAGAGTGCTGCCCCACCAACGCGTGTCCCAGCTTGGCTGCAGGGGATGATTTAGTCCCTTCCCACCTTCTGCTGCCTCCTCCCTCCTCCAGTTCCCTCCAGCCTCCTCTCCATCAGCAAACCCTCCGCCTTCCACCTTCCCACCAACCTCTTCAGCACAGCTATCACCACCACCCCAGCCCCCTCCAGGTTTCTTTTAGGAGCTGGGTAGGGCAGGGCCACTGGATGGCCCATCACCCTGCCCAGGGAGGTGACACTGCCTGGAGCCAGGGCCATCAGGAAGCTGTGGCAGATAGCCCCGATAGCAGCAGGGAGCCCTCGGGACGAGGGGGAGGTGGGGCTGGGGCTGCCTCGCAGCATCCCCATGGTCTGTGAGCAAAGGAACAGAGGGAGAGAGAGACAGAAGGAATGAAAAAAAAAACCCCAAAACCTAAAAAACCCTCAAAAGAACAAAATTGAGGAAAGCAAAAACCCGTGGGTTAGAAAACACTCCTGCTCAGCAGCCAAAACCTGGTCTGATTTATCCTGCGAACCTGTTGCCTTTCCTTCCCTCTCTCCTTCCCGAGACACCTTTCTGATGACGGCGGTGCTGGTTATTCAATCTATATCAAACTTGATAATAAAACCTCATGGTCCCACCAGCCCCCAGCACGGCGCATGGCTCCACGCAGCCCACACCACCCCAAAAACTGGGAAATTCCCCCCCTTGGCTTCTTCCTTACCATCCCACCGGCCTCTCCGGGAGATGCTGCTGGAGTGAGTGGGAATCCGGCTGCTCCGGCACCGGGGACGAGGGCTGATCCTGGCTGGATCAAGGCTGGAAGAGCTTATTGCTGACCTGGGGGTCAACAAGGAGCTTCTCTTCAGGCTGGAAGGATAATGAGTAACAGCCTTTGCCTTGGGCTTTGTCTGATTCCCTGGGGGAGGAGAGGGGCTGAGCCCTTTGCTCCCAGCTGGCGGAGCGGAATCTGGGCAGGGATTTGAAGCTGGGGTCCTACAGGGATGTTACAGACTCTGAGGGTTTGGGGGAGAAGATGCTTCAGAGGGTTTGGGGGAGAAGATGCTTTGGAGGCCTTTGGGGAGAAGATGCTTCAGACGGTTCTGGGGAGACAATGCTTTGGAGGGTTTTGGGGAGAAGAAGTCTTGGAGGGTTTGGGGGAGAAGATACCTTGAAAGGTTTTGGGGAGAAGATGCTTTGGAGGGTTTTGGGGGGAAGACATTTTGGAGGGTTTTGAGGGAGAAGATGCTTCGGAGGGTTTTGAGGAGAAGATGCTTTGGAAGGTTTTGGGGAGAAGAAGCCTTGGAGGGGCTGGGGGAGAAGATGCTTCAGAGGGTTTGGGGGAGAAGATGCTTTAGAGGGTTTGGGGGAGAAGGTGCTTTAGAGGGTTTTGGGGAAAAGGTGCTTTTGGAGGGTTTTGGGGTGAAGATACGATGGAGGGTTTTGGGGGGAAGGTGCTTCGGCGGGTTCTGGGGAGAAGATGTTTTGGAGGGTTCTGGTGAAGAAGATGTTTTGGAGGGCTTTGGGGAGAAGATGCTTCAGAGGGTTCTGGGGAGACAATGCTTTGGAGGGTTTTGGGGAAAAGACTCTTTGGAGGGTTTTGGGGGAGAAGATGCTTTGGAGGGGTTTGGGTAGAAGAAGCCTTGGAGGGTTTGGGGGGCAAGATGCTTTGGAGAGCTTTGGGGAGAAGATGCTTCAGAGAGTTTTGAGGGGAAGATACTTTGGAGGGTTTTGGGGGAGAAGATGCTTTGGGGGGGTTTGGGGAGAAGATGTTTTGGGGGAGAAGATGCTTCTGAGAGTTTTGGGGAGAAGTCTTGGAGGGTTTGGGGGAGAAGATACCTTGAAAGGTTTTGGGGAGAAGATGCTTTGGAGGGTTTTGGGGGGAAGACACTTCGGAGGGGTTTGGGGGAGAAGATACTTCAGAGGGTTTTGGGGAAAAGATGTTTTGGAGGGTTTTGGGGAGAAGCCACTTCACTTTTGGGGATCATTGCCCTGGAGCGGGTCCCCTGGAACCTGCAGCCTTTGCACCAGGGAAGGGAAAAGGCCCGGCCAAGTTTGGGGGGACCCGGCAGCGGGTGCATGGGGGGGTTCAGGCTGCGGGTGATGGGACGGCCTCACTGCATCTCATCGCCACGTGGAGAACAGGCACTGAGGGCCTTCACTCCGTCTTGCACGGAGGAGGATGCTCCACACCTTGAGCTCTTGCCTTGCACCCCAAACCCGCTCTACCATCCCACCGGGAGCAGAGAGGGGACAGAGGATGCGGCCGGGGAATGGGTCTCATCTGAAGGACGGGCGAGGAGCTGCCATCTGCAGGAGCTCTGCAGCTCTCCGTGGCTGCGCTTTGGTGATAAGCAATCCCTCCCCGGTCCCTCATTAAAGAGGGGATGATAACGATTTTTTTCTGAGCCGGCTAACTGGGGCAAGGTGACCTCCGGGAGCACCGCTCCGAGCCCCGAGCGGGCAGGGAACCGCCGCTGCCTCGGCACGACCGTGGGATGCTCTCGGAGACCCGGACTTTCCAGCACAATCACGAAGCGCAGGGGGAAAATTGCTTCTTAATTACGGAGCAGGAGCTGTGCAGCCTGCCAAGGAGACCTCGCAGCACCTCCAGCGGCTTTCTCCATGGGTCTTCACACCTACCTTCAAAGCTCCTTGACCTCCTGACCATCCTGAAACCCCGCTGATGTTTTCCTGGCTGCAATGCAGCAAATTAATGAATAACCCTCCGGCACACCTTCGAGCCCAGAGAGATGCCAAGGGGGCCAGCGGATTGGGGTGGGACACCTCCAGGGTTGCCCAGTTAACATCTCCAGGTCCAAGTGCTGCTCAAAGGTCATCAAAACCTCCAAAAAAAGAGCCATCCTCTCAAAGGGATTAGGGATTAACAGCACGGGGTGAGGGTGACGCTGGTGGGGAGGGATGCAGCTCTCGGCTGCATGCAGGAGGGACAGCACAGCTCGGCTAATTACAGCTGAGCAGCAGGGAATAATTCAATTAAAGAAAAAGGGAGGGGAGCAAAAAAGAAAAAAAAAAGAGAAAAAAAAAGAGAAAAAAGTGGTGTTTTGCCAGGTGTCGAAGCGATTTGTGAATTTATTTGTGAATTTTTTTGGTGGGGTGGAAAAACACGTGGAGTCTCTCCTGCGGGGATCTGGGCAGCAGAGCTTGGCTGGGGGTCTCCTGCAGTGCCCCGGGGGGACACACATCCAGACCTGGGAGGGATTCAATCCCCAACGTTCACCCTGAGGATCGGGAGACCAGTCGTCAGCTGGTGTAAAATCACGGGAGCACGATGCCAGTGGGTGCTTCATAGAATCATAGAATGGTTTGGGTTGGAAGGGACCTTAAAGACCATCTAGTCCAATCCCATGCCCTGGGCAGGGACACCTCCCCCCAGCCCAGGTTGCTCCAAGCCCCGTCCAACCTGGCCTTGAACACCTCCAGGGATGGGGCAGCCACAGCTTCTCGGGGCAACCTGCCCCAGGGGATCACCACCCACACAGGGAAGAATTTCTTCACAATATCTCATCTCAGTCTCCCGTCTCTCAGCGTCAAAGCGTTCCCCCTCGTCCCATGGCTCCCCTCCCTGACCCAGAGTCCCTCCCCAGCTCTCCTGGAGCCCCTTTAGGCACTGGAAGGGGCTCTGAGGTCTCCCCTTTTTGGCCTTCTCTTCTCCAGGCTGAACCCCCCCAACTCTGCCCATGAGGCTCTGCTTCCCAGATGGGATTTGCCCTAAAATCCACCGTATGGCTGGAGCCTCCCCCCATCTGCTGCCCCTGCCCATCGTTCACTCTCTGGAGCTGCCGCCTCCTGCGCCGCAGTGGGGAAACTGAGGCAGGAGCACTTTGCCAAAGCTCTTTGAGCATCTTGAGGGGAGGGATGCCATCCAGAGGGACCTGGACAGGCTGGAGAGGTGGGCCCGTGCCAACCTCATGCAGTTCAACAAGGCCAACTGCAAGGTCCTACAGCTGGGTCGGGGCAATCCCAAGCACAAATACAGGCTCGGTGGGGAATGGCTGGAGAGCAGCCCTGA